GCATCTGTGCAAAAATGCTAATTACCTTCCACAATTAACGCAATTATTTATAATTCTCGCGTGAAATCCTCATGCCGTATTCTTTTCAATTACAGTTTAGATTTGGCGCTATATCTTATGACTTATTCGGTCGAAAGCAGGCCTCAAAAATTATCTATTTCCTTATTTGTACATTTCTTTTTATACGTTTCTCTCACATTAACCAGTATTCAACCTATTTCTAGAATAACGAATCATATTATATATTCTATAAGTTCTAAGTAGTGTACATTTGTTCATGCCTGTAAAAATGGCTGGTTCCTGTTCCAGAAATAAAAATACTATATTATATGACATTGAAGGTGACGTCCATGAAGTCATGTGTCTTATACCATGACTATGCTAGTATAGGTCCGTTTGAAAGGACGAATATCAATGGTCAGTTTAGTGAGGATAAGCCAACTGTGTATGAGAGTGTAATCATTGAACTGACTTGCACGAATAAAGGCATCTGAAGTTTCTAGTTGCTATCTGACTGTTATTATCATTGGTGTACATCACTCTACGCCTACACTTGGTTGGTCAGATAAGTCGTATGTTTGTTAGTCATATATATTCCACGGTACTATGACATGGGCGCGTCACCGTTCAGATATGAGGATGTAGATGAAAGAAGGAGGTCACCTAAAGAAATATGCGACGATTTTTCAACCTAGGGCGTCAACCTGAGAAGAGTTGTAGGCGTACTGCTGTAGGTTCTACAATTCTTCAAGGGTACTACCTCGGTGCTCAGTCCATCGTACTTGGTGTGTGATTTTGTACATAAGTTCATATTTTATTTACTGAATTGGTATCATTTTCATCTATCTGTTGGTAACTTTGTTTGTGTCCGGACGACTTCCACTTGGATCATCGACCTGAGAAGGAATGTAGGCGTACTGCTGTAAGTCCTACAGTTCTTCAAGGGTAGTTCGTCGAGGCAGAATCCACAACATTTGATGTGTTGATTGTACACATGTTTGTGTTAAATAATTGCGTGGGTTCCAATTAATGTAATTTCAAGATAAATTTCAAGACAATATCCGAAACATCCATATTGCTGAGGCGTTTTCTCTTATTAAGGTTACCTGCAGATCAACTTCGCACTAAATACGTTTATATTGGATGAAGCATCGCAAATGTATAACTAAGAAATTGGTCCGAAATCTCAGTAATGTCTAATGAACAGAGTTTTATGAGTCCTACAGAAATTACATCCTCATATTTAGGAGACTATAGCCATCAAATACAAGCTGAACATACCGCAACTCTAAACAGCTATACATAGTGTTGACAACACAGAGAAACACTTAAAATATTGCCAGATACGCAGACCTGTTGTGTTGATGAGGGTAACAGTGCCAAATGATGCAACCTAGGCATTCAATCGTGACGCCACATCCGTGCTGCTTTATGTAAATGGAAATTGCAGCAGAAATTCATCTCCACTACTGGTGGTCAAAACTTTTGCAGCATCAAGTTTACAGTGTCAGTGGGAATGGTAGATTTAGAATCAGATTATAAGGATAGAAGCTTCTTGTTGTCTATGTTAATCCTTGCGATATATGTCCCTGCAGTGATCCAGTTTCTTTTTGAAAGCGTTCACCGATGGAGCTGTCGCTACTGAATTCTAACACAATAGTCTGATAACAACAGAGCTAACTAGATTCATAATGAACACAATCCATGTGTATAATTATTATTTAAGTAAAACAGTAAGGAAATTTAAACAAGTGATTGCTTTCTCCACTTCACTGCACTTGCGATAATCATGACAACCACCTGCGTTTGTTAGCCAAGCAGTCAGCTAAGCAGACAGGCATAATATTAATACAGTTGAGGTATTTTTTATACATCGAGTCCACATAACTCATATTACGCTACACCAAACAGTGCAAATATACATGAAATACATCTAGAAAAAACCTCTCAACTTACAATAATTCCACTCTAAATACACATATAGTGTGATACATCTACATGATTGATTCTATCCCCACAGAAGGTTCTGTTAGCATTTACAGGTGATTTCCATGTACTGATAGAATTCTTTTGTCAAGAAGGACTGTTCTTCACACAAAAATAGGCTGAATTAATATTCTGAGACGTAAGATCTTCATTGAATTATACCACGCCAAAGGGTGCAGCTCCTAAATAAAGTAGACTATTTGTGTAGATGACATTACCCTCCAACTATCCTATCTTCCACGGTATAGTGATATGTTTATACAGTCCGCCCGAAACAATAACCGTTGCAACCAGTATGCTATGAGTGTGTCGCAGTCAGATCACATGACGCGAACACTGACATAGCTAGCCAGGAAATTGAAATTTCCATCAATAAAAATTATTGACAAAAAAATTTCCAAGCGAAATTCTAACAGAATGTGATCTATAAATCCATTCATATAATCGCCCGTCAACCTCATTTAACTACATGTGTAATAGTGCCAAGTTAAAGCATATGTTACATGTAAATATTGATGGAACGTTAATACAAAGGCTGTGCAATCAGATTAACTGCCTTCTTGGAGATATATGAGGCAATAGCGATACATAACTCCGGGGTTCAAATTAACTACGGTGTCTGTGGCTTGAATGACGATTGGTTCTCCGAGATGATAGACTAATAAAACCTTGAGTGTGCACCCATTCGTGTTTTCCTACACGTTCTTATTGGTAATAAACAGAGGTGTGAAACTGGTACAAGAGGGACTGTAGGACTATTTGAGTAGTATCGCCAGAGACTAACTAGATCCAACCTTTAACAATTGCAGAATCTTACTATGACAAAAAGCAGTAAGACACATTTATGTGTGAAAACATCAAAACTTAAGGCATAGGAAATACAGAGAAACTCTTTACAGAAGTCGTGAACAACTGCAGAATAATGTTCCAATTTCCGAGATGTGCTATATGGTTTTAAAACTTCATTTCGACACATTCTTTAGTGCAAATCATGCTCATCGAAATACAGCGTTTCTGTGCCATAGTAAAGACAAAAATTTTGCGTAAATCCTAACGGGTTTAGTCGACATAACTCGCACAGAAAGACAGCGTAAGAACCACTAAGTGTGACAGTACCGCAATATTCAATAATTTCGCAAACATACAAATTTTTTTATGCTTTTTATTAAATGAAGTTTTAGGCCGTGTTACTTTGAAGCGAACCTTCTCAGCACTATTATCCACTTCCTTCAAGAAATTTTGACTTATGACAATCTGTTTTCACGAAATGTTGATGACGAAAAACGTTCGTTTTTTCTAGAACTGAAGTTCGTGACACCAGTATATTTCTGTAACTTTTGCATTTATGCGAAAAATCTTGCCGATACCTCTAATTCTTTTCCTTTAGATCCCTGATTATCCAGTTATATAGTATTGAGTGTTGCACCAAAGTATGTGAAAACTTCGTTCATTGACATTTTAGCCCCTTTTGGTTTTACTCAACTGGCGATAACAAGGAAAAAATATTATGCGTATGATTGTAGAAGGATTGACCATTGCTCTAACTTTTCCAGTAGATGCATTACTCCAGGCAAAGCTTAGATATATAAGCCTAGGCACTGAAATTTGACGGCACTTTTGGTGAAAGAGGTAAATCGTCTTTGCATGAATTATTGCATGTGGCCACCATAGCTAATATACCTTCATTGAGCTCGCTAGTGTCTACCGCTGTCAGATGCTTATGTGACTTGTTGGTGTGGTGACTTCCTGCATATTGCTGTCAAGCTGATATTATTAATGCGTGGAAAGCCTGGACAATTTCAGTGGAAGTAATTGGACATATTGGACACTGCAATGACAAACTGTATTGAAAATATGAACTTATAGTAAACGCACAAATCACAGTGAAAATTAGCTTTAGTATCTAAATCTAGTCACTTGGTCCATGTATAAATGTTATTATTGAGCAGTATGATCGAAATGGGCGATTAAGTCTTTTCACACGTAGTTACCGTAGGCACAGAGGAGACCTCATCACCGTCTACAAGATCTTAAATGACTAGGCCCACTCAAATAAAAGCATCCTGCCATTAAGTGATTATAGGCTTCCACGAGGTAACCCGCTAAGGATAGCACACCAGAGACCAAAGACTCGAGTGCGATCACATTTTTTCCCTTCGAGTTTGCCGTCTCTGGAACGCTTTACCGGCGGCCGTGACTACAGCGCCATCTCTGGAGATTTTTAAGCGGAAGCTGGACAATCATGCAGAAATGCAAGGCTTGTGTCTCAATGGCTTATCCTCACAAAACCTAAAACCACACTGTCAATGGATAAGCATACAGACTAAATCCCCACGACCTGTTCTGCCTTCTCTCACTGTACCGACTACTCTATCTTTTCCTTAGGTCACCTTTATTATTTCACTTATCTCAACCCATATTATCTACACTACAACCAATTATTATTATTACTATTCTGCTTTTATGACTACACCGAATGGCCAACGGAAGTTAGGTCAAGCTCCATTCACGGCAGCGACACAGTCCTAACATACTGCATACTACAAACCACATTTTGACCCAACCCCGCACCACTCCTCTTGGGGTCTACCAGATCTAGAGCAGTCGAGTGTCGGGACTTACTACGCAGAAGTTCGCCGAAGATCTGGAACCTCTACCTCACAATCAAGAAGCGAGCTCAAAGAAATCAGTGGTTTATACTAGCTCGTAACCAGGATATTGGATATTGAACACTGCTAGGAAACGGTGACCTTCAAAGGTCTCAATTTCAAGGGTTTCTACGATACGTAGCGTGATTTCAATTATTGTGTAGAATGGAGATTAAGAATCGGTATGCGAAAGTTATCCAAAGGACATGGTTATCTTACCATAATAAACTTGTATTCAGGACTTTTAAGTTTGCTGTCAAAATTTTGGTTAGTAAATATTTATGTTTTGTATCTTTCAGGAAAACTTACCGAAGAAACATGTTCTAAGGCTGCTGTTACCAGAAGATTACCAAACACTAGTCAGAGATGGCTTATGTGATACAGTTATCCTATTTAGGTAAATAAACTTTTCAAAATCATCTCATGAATTCTGGCTGGATGGACTTAAATTTCCCCCAGTTATCTGCTTCAAAATTAATGTGAAGCACACATCATGCTCTTTAATCAATATATCGCCTTTAGATAACTCTGATAATGCTGAGAGTGTAAGAATTTATTTTTGCGTTTTACAATAATAGGTGACCAAATGTCTCGTAAAATCATTGGGTAGAAGGAAATACTTGGACCTTTTGTTCGGAGATTCCTGTATCTACTTTCAGCCGCATTTTATGAAAGAGACTTGTCTTTCAGACATCACTTCATCCATCAAGGTAAAACAGTTTAGATTTGACAGATTATAAGTTAGAAAAACATAAATTTATAGTAAATCTAAAATTTATTTTATGGTTAGCTTTAATTAAATTTTATAAAGTAATTACGCATGTCTTATATTCGCCATCCGTTCTAGTAAACCCTTTACCTGTGTTGATCGTGGTAGTGAAAATCTCTGTGGAGAAGTGGTTTTCTTCGAAAATTCAGTTAACAAAGCGATTGCGACTGCTGTGTTGCAAAGTTTTAATCATCGATTGCACTACAAAACTCTTGAGTTTACCCCACTGGGTTTTACTGTTTATTTTAATTAAGCGAAATTTTTGAAGTAAAAGTGAATTCTGGTCTAACAGTCTAACAAAGCTTTTATTCAGTTTTGATCCTACATGCTTTCTATGCCATTACAAATGTCAAGTAATTTAGAATAGTTGGTGTATTCTGTCTTCATTTACACCTCTAAGGCTTTTCTCGTGGGTTATGAGGTTAACAAAAAAACAGAAATAGTAAAGGGGACTTACGGCTGCGAAATATCCTGCAAAGAGAATTGATGAAGCTTGCGAAAGTTTAGGGTTGTTGTGCATTTTCCTCCCTTTATTCTGTCTCATGGCTCGATAACCTATACCAAATAGTTTTGGTTAGGCGTACTGCATTAGCGTCTTGATGACTCGGTGTGTAATTTGAGTAGGGGAAAACTAAAAGGTGAAAGGAGGACTGGAGTGTGAATGTGGTAAGAAAAACCTATCTAGTTGAACCTCAGTTCTAAAAGGTATCAAATATTGTCAGATTTTGAATGAATGTTTAGACCCTCACTCATCACCAAAATGCGAAATTTGAGCAAAGTCACTGCATAAGCACTTAGAATCTTATTAACGCTTTAGCGATTTTAGAACAAGTCACAAAATATGTTTTGTGAATCCCTTGATATAACTGGAGTAACTTAATGACGAATAAGTTAAACAAGTTAAAATAGATCCTGCAAAACAATTTCAAGTATTTGAGGGTAATTTTGACATACTGGGGGATTTGGAGGAATCTTGGTGCATTTCTCCAAGGGCTTAACACTAGTCTACCTCGAAACTACACTTAAAACTTTCAAAGTCGTCCCTAACTTGCGATTGCGGATAAGAAAATAAATACAAGAGTAATCTGATTGATTTTCAAAATTAGTCATTAGCCATATTAGATAACAGTAGATTCAATCCCCCTAAAATTATAAGGCCGTTTATAGTGACATTCCCTGTTATAAATAAATTGTGGTTATGTTTCTATAGACAGTGAAATTAAATGCAAATGACAGCATACCTATTTTTGTTTCTGATTGTGTAAAGTATACCTAGAGTTTACTTTAGTTTTCTGGCGCACAGTATGCCAAGCCTTGGCTTAACCACATGAATTATCTCACTTTTTTTTAAAAAAGCGTTTCACTGAAGAACTCCCCGCTACCTTTGGTGGATATCAAAATAAATGGCGTCATCTAGATGGAAAAGGTGAGTAAAATCAAAATTGCGTAGTGATTGTCACTCTCAAATAATACAGAAATACTTCGAAAATTAAATGTGATAAATCGCAGTAAGGGTTATCTTCTTATATTCGGCTAGATATATAAGCAGTCAGATTTGTTTAATAATAAACAAGTTAACTTGTAAGATGCCTCATACAAGATAAATTATGGAATTTGGCACATATAAATATGGCATAGCAGTTGAAAAGTTTTCGAGACATATTCTCATTCAGAAAATTACATCGTGTAGGTATAAGAGCTCTGTTAGAATTATGTATTTGTAAGGTGAAATACTACTGGCAATTTGTTATTAAGTAATGTTTAGATCGACAAAGTTTTCAGAAAAGTTCATACGTCGAACTTCTATGTTGTTTATTTTCCTATTGAGCGCAGTGTACAACTGTAACGAAATATGGTTAGGCTTCCTTTAGCTCATTATGCATGGACTTCCTCAGTGAGATCAAAAAGAAATTGTTTACATAAGTCATTTTTACTGTACATTTGTGCTAGGGGAATCGCATTTTTATGTTTCTCATCATCTTGGAATGGGAATGAATTTATTTGACAGATAGTCTGCATCGGTGTACTGTTCATTTATTCTGTTATTCCCACGTTAATAGGATGGTGAGGGAAAAATTCCAGGAAACCGTGGAACTTTCGCATGTTGGTTCGAGCCATGTGGGGAAGTGTACATAACCTGACTAGATCTCTTAGGATACTAAGAATAAGTGGTTGAAAACTATTGATGACATGCCTCAAAAACATTTTCAGTGGAGCGGATGTATTCACTGCTCGTTATCCTCAAGATTCTAAAAATATTCAGTAACCTTTGTCTAGTTCTCTCCGTCGTATATTTAATTTCGTTGGAGTTTCACCATATTTCTATTTCTACTTTTATGTGTGCTTCTCAGAAGTTTGGCAACTTAAAGTGCTGCACTTTTATGCGAAATTTTATTTTGATAAGCAAATCAGTAATATAAATTCTATTTTTTCTATGGTACAAAAACTTCTGATAAACGGTATCCGTTTAATGGAATATTCTCTAAAATAAAAGGGTCTTATTCACACATGCTGGTCGAATTAGGGTAATATTCCAGTCAAGAGATGGTTTTAAAGTAATATTTGTGAAAATTTCCTTCTTTTGACTACCCACACTGTAATTAGGATTTATCTGCTTTCATTCTTTTACATTCCGAGTGGAATGTGGGGTTTTAAGTTTCAGTAACGATAATGGTATTGTTTAAGGATGTGAGATTGCTAGCCTAACGCCTGACATTACCTTTTCTCCAGGCTTACTATTGGCTAGACTGAAGCCTTAGGAGTGTGTCGGCCTGGGATCGAATCCGGACCACAAGCGTGCAACGACAAGCATTTTACCACTTAACCACTCATATAATACTTAGGAAACATACTGGGTTGATTTTAGCAACCACATGGCTTTTGTCTGTTTCTAGTGCGCTTTTATACTGACTGAAAGCCTTTCTAATTTCTTGAAACTGCTAACCCAACTACATTTTGAATAGTCTTCCGATAATAACAAAGTGACTATGTCTTCAAATAACAGTGAAGCGAAATATCTCCAGTAATAAAACGATTTTCACAATGTTTCATATTTTTTTCTAACAAATCTCCACTTTCATTCTAAAAGCTCAGATTATAGATTATATATGGACAAGTAAATAACCTGTTCCGTTTAGTTTATTAGTTGGGTTGTAATTAAAACAGAAACTAGCAAGTGCATTTTTTGTATTTGGGATTTTTCAGCTGAATGTCCCTGTACCCTTCCAGTGAGTGGGTTTGTAAAACTGAAAATATTATTCACCCTTTTATTAAGTCCCCACTGCATCTTATTGAATGAGGTTTTGATTTATTTCATAATTTTCTCCCCTGGTAACTAAAAAAGTAAATATGACAGTAAAGATAATATTTCCCACTTCATTAACTGTAAGTGGTCTTAAATCACTATGTGTGTCGATAAAACGAAACAATGTGGGCTTGCTAGTTCAGGTTCAAACGACTATGCAAAGTATATTATAAATGAGAGGAAACAGAATACATGAGACAGTTAAAATAACTAATAGAATGACATGGCGATATTACTCAGTCGTGCAAGTTGAAGTAGGTGGAAAGAGGTATTAGAGCCCGCAACCCTGTGAATTAAAGTCAGGTGCCATCACTGTCATATGTAAGTTAAAATATGCACGTAGGAGAGACAGAGCTAAATAAACTGGATTTGATGAACGAAGTGTACGAAAGTTTTTTCGAAACGTACTGTACACATACGTTCCGAAACATTATGTTACGTCGAGTGAAACAGTAGTAAACTCATTTATGTAGGAACTTGGTAAAAACAAGTGCACATCTCAGAAGAGATATAAACTTCTCATAGTTGCTGACACAGTTTGTCAGTAAGTGTCCACAAAAATGTGTTGAGAGCATCATGTCAAATGAAAACTGTTATCTAACGCCATTATTTAAAAGACTTAACAGCCAATTGCATGATCAATGTAGAACTTTGCACAAAGCTGCAGCAGTCCAGGTCGCCACACTCCATATACCACACAAAGGTACAGAGAAAATTTCAGAAGGACTGTAATGAACGGACATATATGGCAGGAAGAATAAGTACATGGAGAAGAATAAGGGTTTGGTGAATTTAGTTCATAAGGAGTGAATGTATTGACAGCGAATTCGACCTCAACCAATGAGTCCACATTTCCTCTCACGACTCAGGCCAACAGTCAAGGATATCATGGTTAGCACCGTATTTAAGTTTGCCTACTTCCAACTTTTCTAGACGTAATCGTAATTCAGCTAGTGATATGTGATGGTATCTTGTTAATTAATGACCAGATTCCTTATTTCATTACTTACTGTAGGTCTATGTATCAGTAAATATTTAAATTATTTGTTGGACGAACACTAATCCAAGCGTATTGAGTCCTATTAATCGGAGTCTTTATTTTTATACTGAGCTTGATGTAACTGTCTCACTTGTGTGATATAATAGCAGTTACTCTTTCTTATAAGTCTACTTTGTGAAGTATATATACTCTTTGTGTTTTGTATGCTTAGTTATCGAAAGGTTGGATTATCTCTCTGACTTATTTGATACACCATCTCTGAGCTGCAAACCGAATATGAAACGCCTTGTCAACTTACTAATTACAGCAATACAACCTGATATATTAGGACCAGTTTCACGGTCAAAGTTAATCCAGCTGAAAAGGAAGTCATTGCAGCATGAACAGCCGTGTTACAAACATCGGCAGCAACATCGTCAAAAGGGAAGTATCTCGAAACAAACAAAACGTCTAACATATCATAGTGGAAAACTAAATGATTCTAGTGTGAGTTAATTTTATAAGTGATATTCTGAATTTTTTTGGTTTAAATAAGACACAATCATTTTAGGAATGTGAAACCAGAACTACATTCATTCGAAATATTCAAGAACAGTTACTGTGACACAGGCTTAAGGTTACAAAATACTGGATAGTCCAAGTCAGATTGTGTGTTTATAAGGATTTTAATGTAGAATACTTTTCACACAAGTACATTTCAGTTAGAAAGTCACTGAAAAGTAAACAGCATTAAGTAAGTGGTTTTACTACAGAGGGACTTATCAGCTGATCACAAGGATCATCCTACTAGAATACAACAACTCTAGTTCTCCTTGACTTAAAATGCTTCTCAAACTAATGTTGGTTAGAAATGAAATTTAGATGCATAATAAATTCAGTAGTCTGCAAAGTGAGGTATTCAATTTAGAATTAGTCACACTTTGCATGTTTATTCCAGCAAAGGGTGAGTTGCTTTATCAGTACTTAAAGAAAGTGGTCGGTGGGAAAAAAATGGATCTTTGTGGTAGTATGGAATGAGTTATTTGGGGATTTAATATAATATTTTTTAGTCAGGTAAAAAATCAAGGCATCGCTTATTGTAAACTTGATTTATCTACACTGACTGATTTAAGCCAGTCAACCACCTCCATTGAATCGCCATGCATAATTTTGGGTTTCATAAGTCCCGACCTGTATGTCGGTTATTTAGTGATAAAGTGCCCGACAGTTACGCGCAAGATCCGGGATCGATTACCGACCAATGCACTTCCAAACCTTGCCTGCCCAGTAGTAAGCCAGGAAAGGGGGTAGGGTTGGACCCCCACCTCTTAAGAACGACACCATCGCTACTTAAGCATTAAAGAATATGTTCTGTTCGGAAAACAAGGCATGGAAAAATAAAACGAAAAGTACTGTTTTATCATTGCTTTGATAAAAAATATCAGGATCAAATAGCAAAATACAAGTATAAACAGCCTTGGTTTCGTTTGCATTCTTTGAGAAACTTCTACTTCTAACATTCATAATAATGATAATCAAAATAATAAATATAATTTGCTTGGTGACCAATGTTTTTCAAACCATTAAATCGGCACTTCTAGAAGTTATCAGATATGCTGGACTATATTCACTAACTAATCCTATTCCTTAGCTCTGATAACATTTGATCAATTAAGCTTTTCACTGAATGATGAGGTTCTTCATCAAGTTTCCCTTTTCAGTGATGTTGTTTAGCTGGATTTAAACAAGCCGTTTAACTGCTATTCGATTCATAACAATGCAGAGGAAGCAGGTTTTTGAGTCATGTTAAATATGCAGATGAAACAAAACAAAAATCAAAAGTATAATTGTGGTGTATAAGATGCGATGCGTCGGTGGCATAGCGGTTAGGACGCTCGCCGACCATGCACATGATCCGGGGTTTGACCCCCGGCCGACTCACTCCTTTACCTCGCTAAGCCAGAAATAACGGTGGTAAAGAGGAAAGGTTGGGCATAAGGCTAGCAGCCCCATCCTGTAAAATGAAAATTGCTACAGAAACTTCAAGCCACTAGCTTGAAGCCCTATGTTCCACTGGGAACGTGAAGGAAAAAAAAGATGCGATGCATTTGTTAGAAACAATATGATAGTATCAGAATCCTATATATTATCTAAGCGCCCAAATTGAGTTTAATATTAGGAGAGTGGCTAAGGTAAATAACTGATAAATATACAATCTAACAATATCCAAATATATGTATATTTCAGAATCCGCATGGAAGACAAATAAGTTTGGCTGGAAATCAATATTTGGATGAAAATTCGGATAAATATGAAGAAGCAGAAGAATTATATAAATGGAGTCAATGCCTTCCTCAATTGTAGCTTTCACTTTAGTAATTATTATGAACATTTTTTTCAATAACTGTAATGAATAATATGAATAAATATCATGGAATGAAATTACAAAACTACTCTTACAATGTTTCAGAATTTTCAATAAATTTATTGCAAGTGCATTCATATGCCTATATGCATGATATCCGAATTAGTGCTGTTCATACATGAAATGAGTTTTATCAGAGACTGACTATAACTAAGGTTTGTGAACATTAGTTAATATCAAATACCTGTTGCTTCCTTTAAAATTTCTCAGAGGTACACGTTTACGAATACTTGAAGATAATATATGGCTTTCAATTTCTTTCTGTGTTATTTCTAATTCAAGTAATGCACCTCAGTTTTAAGTTCTCTTTGCAAGTATTCTCACCTAGAATGCTGTTGATGAGCATATTTTTGTCTCATCAAACACCTACGAGGGGAAAATCTAGCAATTATACTACGTTTTGACAAGTGCAAATTAGGGAATCTTTTAAGTATAAATGATCAAGGGTCACGAAAGCTTTTCCTGAAGACGTATTTCAATTTAGAAATGTCAATATGTATTAAATATATCATACTAAGAAACAATTATGTCAACAATGATTTCTTTAAGTAATGTTTCTTGAATTACAGTACTGATCATAAGATCAAGTATGACGGTGATATCTGAGTACCTCATCATCATCAAATATCAATAATCGGAGCTGGAAGATGAATAATAACGTGTGAATGTTAGCGAAGGCAGTTCTAACATGTACAGTAGATTAGCTGTTGTGAAAACTAGATTGCTTCAACGATAAATGACAAAAGTGAACAAGGATAGTGACGAAGTAGGTTCATGAATCACAGAATTCAATTGAATGGATGACTAATAACCTATTAATACAGAATGTGACATAAAATGAAGAAGTTTAGTTTGAAAAACTTTCTAGAAACACTGACGAAAGTAGAGAAAGAAACGTTGTGAAAATATGTGGCTTTGAGAATAATTAGATAAAGATAGTGAATATTTTCGGTATGTGAATGATAACGTTTACTGAATATATCTGTTTCTCTGCTAATGTTTTTGGGCTGCATCACTAAAAGCCTCCAATCACTATTTCTTAGTAATCTGAAGACCTTAACCAACCAACCGTTATGTCCTTGTGTGGCTTAAACAAACAATGAATGACTCCTTGTGTTCGTGGTGTATTTTGGTTTGACTGTCCTTAACTAACTTCCAACCTAACAAACTTCAACTAGCATCATTCATCGAGGAAGATGGTAGCTAGGAATGCAATAAACCATGTTCTAGTTACATCAATGAATGCTGCTTCACAACCGTATTGATTAAACTCCTGGCCTCACAAAAATTCCTTCTAGCCTCATTATTACTAACCATATTTCATCTCCCATACAAAAGCCACTAGTATTTTCATAACTTCTACACTTATCGACCATGCGTCAATGCTCCAGAGTAGGACAAAGGGAGTTACTGGTGATAGATGATGGGACATCATGCTTTAATCAAAGGTGAAGCAAGTTGGTAAACACAAAGGAGTCTATTATATGTGCTCCGAGATTCATTTAGCAAACAGCTTGTTAAGAGTGATGAGGCAGGACAAATAAATTAAGCTCTTTACACATTCAACCGTTTAATTGTGTATACTTAAACAGTAATTCGAAACAGATTAATTATGCCACATTATATTAAGTTTATTAGGGGAAAATCGCGTAACAAACATACTTACATTTCTTTTTACTTACGATGTTGAGAAAAATCTCTGATTGATCATCTACTCATTCTAAATCAAAAAGACTTTTCTCCGGTAACAAAAAATAATCCTTGCAAAGTCAACGTCGACTAGGATCACACCTATTAAATAAGAATGCCGATATTCTGCATTGCTGATAGAGATCTGTGGTTGCTGTCCATTTGAATGACTACTCGCGTCAAGCGGCATACGAGCTGCTTCAGGTGAAGTACAGTTTCTTTTTCCATACACTCTACTTTTCTCTCTGTCTTCACAACCAGATGTTTCACACCATCTTTCGCTTGACTAAGTGAAGTGTCACCTTCAGGTAATAAGGATAATGAGCACTGGATGCAGGTAAGTATGCATATGCTGCAGAATATGCCAGAGGATACAGATGTGATCAATTTAGTATCTTCCGGGAGGAAAGCTCGACCGTTTCTGTCAGGTTCGGCTTTACAGGGACTTACTTAATATTCACATGACGATTGGAACTACAGTGTTAGAGACACCAAAGCCTCAGGATGGTCGGGGGTGGGTGCCTTGCGCTGCGGGTTGGCCACCCCTCCGCACACCTCTTGAAATGCTCCCATATGACCGGGCGTCTTACATAGCTTCTCCTGAGGAAGTCCTACTCACTGCCTTCACGTGGCGGAGGTGTTTCTCACCAAAGTGAGAGGGCAAAAGCGATGCCCCGGGCTCCCCCCCCGGGTTGACTTTCCTTTGGAGAAAATCTTAGGGAGATGGCTAAACCCTGATTCCAAACCTCCAACGACTGGCGTATGAAGCTTACTGGAGCTCACCGGCAGACGTATGGACAAAGGGCTTGTTGGATGTCTGGCCCCATTCAAAAAGGCGTATGAACCGAACTCCGGTCACCGGCTGCCAATGGATAGTGGACTCCTTACTCCACTCCTACTGCCTTGTAGGTCACACTTGGCTGTGTAAAGGCTAGAGCTGCACTCTCAAACAAAAGGCCGAGCGACGCTGGGGACATCACTCGTACCAAATTCCCATGAAACTACATGAACTCTCTTACAAATTGCCGCGCCTGGGCAGCGATGATTCGAGACGTTCATGAAGCCGGCTCATCCTCCCGTAGGAGATAGCCGAAGTAAAGTAAAAGTAAGTAAGTTAGAGACACCATGTTAGTAAGGCTGATCCCTCTGCAACTACGTTGGAAGTATAAAGAAACTCATGATGTATTATAAAATTTAAAATTAATAAGAAAATGACTTAGTTTCTTATTGTTTGCCTGAGAAGCTAAAGTAAAACTTCGAACACAAATGCACCAGTTAAATTTTCCGAACTCCTAAAAGCACAATGAAGAAGTAGGATACACGTGATGATATCTCTACAGACATATATATATATATATATATATATATATATATATACATATATATATATATACATATACATATATATATATATTAATGAAGGTTAGTGAGCATTTTCCAACTGATCCCTACATCTTCTGATAGTGCCAAGTGGGGGCTCGTAATTTGACGCAACATATGCCTCATACATGTTGCTTAATAAGCATTCACAAGTCCAAAGAACGACTTATTGTCTTTATATCAACATTACTCCAAATTTCAATACCTTTCATCACGTTGCTGAATCTAAGTCTACTATTTAAAATAAAATACGTGAAGTAAAAGCATGCACGCTTCCCACATCTAACAACTCCAGCGAACTGCCACACAGTATTAAAAAGCCTGCACAAGGAATGATGCAAATTTTTAGATACTAAACGAGTCATTTTTTCCTTACCCATATTTCTTAGTCATCCATTTTATCAGGGAAGAAACACTTGACCACTTCATTCTTTATCGTCGAACTATGAGTAGAAACAGACAAGTTTTGTAGCATCATCATATACATGGACAAGAAGGACTCTTCAGAAAACGTTTTATCTAGTCATAGTGCACTGAGAAGCATTGCAACTGAACAGTTACTCAAATAAATGGAGTGACAAATGCAGTTTGTCGTTTCACTCCCATTTCTTAAACTCGCAGATAGTTCACAACAACATTTCGGTAGATAAACACACGAGACAAATCATTTCAGTCATAAAGACTTTTAAGATTATGTGCAAGTAGCTTAGTGCAAAATAGATGACGCACACTGTCCTGTACAGGCTAATACAAGCACAGTAAAATCAAAGAGTGATAGAGTTAGATTAATAATTATAAAACTGAAAAAGTGGAACTAGTGAAACAGTTCTAAGGGAAGATAGGTTAGCTAACTTTTGGCACAGTTTATGCATCATTGGTAAGTTACTAAACAAAATAGCAAAAAGGTGGACACATTAGTTGTTTCATATCTGATCTTAACATACTTATTAGATCCCTTAACAACTGCGCAGTTCGAAAAGTTTCAGACACCGCTGAATCGTCTGTAGTGAAAGTGTTTAAAATCAGCACACAAATAGTAATTGGAAAATGAAACTTGTATTAGAAAAAAATCTAAGGCAATTAGAGAGTAAGAAAATAAATCAACAGGAACATAGATTCTATGTTCCACCTTAAAATAACTAGTATGGCTAATACAATACATTTACTGGTAGTTAATGTAGTTTATAAACTATCGTGTTGGACAGAATAGTGGATAATATGGTATCAGTTTATAAAAGGTACAGTGTCTCAACAGATTGTCTATAGGTGTCTTCAGAAACGATGGATCATCTTAGTTGTTATGAAAACTGAATCTAGGTAGGGTATTCCGATAATAACCGCTTAAAATAGTTAAGCAGATGCATTTTCTATACTCAATCATTTTTTATCTCTAAAAACTATATCAGTTTGTGTAGTGAATATCAGTTATTAAATGGGTACCGAAGAGTAGTCAGTATTATCTTGTCTAGTTAAAAGTGCTGATGGAAATTTAGTAACAGAGTTTTCAATGTGATCCTCACTCTAGGAGGCTTTAATCGTCTTCCCCTAATTTGATTAAACTTAGATGGAGACAGTTAAGATGTCATACCTGATCTACTTTTCTTTCACCAGGAGTAGTGTTTGCAAACAAGCGTTAAACCTATAATAAAACCTACACATTTCCTTTAATTTAAGACTCTTAAATGTAACAAGGATTAGATACAAGTTATCTTAGTTTTGTTCTCCATAAATGTCCAATTTCTGCAATGAAGATTACGAATATGCTTTTTGTAGTTCATGCTGTCTGCAAAAGTAGTTTTCTAATAAAAAGCTATTGCAATCTGTTATCTCTAAATATAAGCCATCTGATTGCATCATTTGCTCCTCTGTT